GTTGTCTGTATATCACTATTTACCTCTACCCTCTTTAGCCCTTGCATTCCTCCTTGTATTCTCATCTGTCTTCATCAATCATCTGCCAACCTCCTTCTTGTAAATCGCCCTCCCCATCACCCAAGTTAACATGTCTCAGTAGAGACATGTCTAGCCAGTGAATTATTTTCCCTTCACTCCCACCCCTGGTAACTGTCAAAGAATGCTTCTTTTAGTATGAGAATGTTTTCCTGAGATGTTACAATTATTTGACCTCTGTATTTTTTTCTTCATTTCTTTGCATTTAAGTTTCAGGAATATATCCATTTCATAAGACATCCTTTGCACATGTGTGATCCTGTGTATCCTCACAGTGGTGTTTATGTTTGAGTCCATTGTTTCTGCCACTGCCTTAGTACATCTCATTTGGTTCTTCCTCTTTTTTGATGACCTGCTACCATGCATGATGTCCTTCTCTAGGGACTGATCCTTTGACAGCATGTCCAAAGTACAAGAGATGAAGAATGGCCATCCTGGTTTCTAAGGAACATTCTGACTGTACTTCTTTCTAGACTTATTTTTTTTGTTCTTCTGACAGTCCATGATACTTTGAATTTTGTGCTCCAGCACCATAATTCAAATGAATTGATTCTTCTAAGGTCTTCCTTATTCATTATCCAATTTTAGCTTGTATATGAGGCAATTGAAAATACCATGGCTTGCATCAGGTGAACCTTGTTCCTCAGTATGGGTTTTACCTTATTGTAAAGAAAACAAAAATCCTCTCACAACTGGACCAATAAATAGCATATTGATAAACAAAGAAAACGTTGAGGTGGTCAAAGACTTCATTTTGCTTTGTTCCACAATCAGCACTCAAGGAAGCAAGCAGTCAAGAAATCAAACAGCAGATTGCATTAGGTAAATCTGCAAAAGACCTCTTTAAAGCATTTTAAAACCAGAACAGGGACTAAATCACTGACAAACATGGGCAGAGTACCTTTTTTAAAAAACAAACAAACAATTTTGGAACAATTTTGTATTTACAGAAAAACTGTAAAATTAAGACAGAAAGTTCATGTCTGTTGCTCACACAGTTTTCCCTACTGTTAGTTAGCATCCTATGTTATCATAGTACGTTTTTACAAAATAAGGAACCAACATTGTTTGGTTCATTACTGTTAATTAACTACCAGAATTCAGCATATACCTTTACATTTAATATGGTACCTATTGATAGTAATTAAAATTACCTAGCTTTTGGAGCCAACACTTGTCTGACAGTTTGCTATATTGTTGTGACTTTTATGTTGCTGTGATTCTGGAAGCTATACCACGGATATTTTAAATACAAGCGGGGTTACCCACAGTGGCCAAGTTTCAGCTGAGCTTCCAGACTAAGGCAGATTAGGAAAAAGGAAAGATGGTCTACTTCCAAAGATTTAGTCACTGAAAACCTTATAAGTAGCAGGAACACAGTTAGATAATACCAGAATATTGAATATTGAAACATGTTGAAGACCACCAAAAGTTGGTCAGATACAGTGCTGGAAAATGAGCCCCTCAGGTTGGAAGGCACTCAAAATATGACTAGGGAAGAGTTGCCTCCTCAAAATAGAGTTGACCATGGTGATGCACATGGGGTATATAGCATTTGGGACCTTCATTTGCTGATGGGACACAACTCAAAATGAGGAGAAACAGCTGTGAACATGCATTAATAATTGGAACATAGAATGTACAGTGTGTAAAACTAGAAAAATTTGAAAATGTCAGAAATGCAGTGGAATTCATAAACATTGATATCCTAGGTGTTAGCGATCTGAAATGGAGTGGTATTGGTCATTTTGATTCTGAGAATCACGTGGTTTACTATGCCAGGAATGGCAAATTGAAGAGGAATGACATTGCATTCATCAAGAACATTTGAACATGTATCTTCAAGTACAACACTGTCTGTGATAGGATAATATCCATACACCTACAAGGAAAACCAGTTAATACAACTCTTATTCAAATTTACATACCAACCACTAAAGCCAATGATAATGAAATTGAAGAATTCTACCAACTTCTTTAGTCTGAAATTGATTAAGCATGCAGCCTCGACTTGCGGTATTGAAGGATTCTATGGGTAAATATTGAATGATACAGAAAGCATCAAAAGAGGATGGAAGGAATACACAGAGTCATTGAACCGTCACTCCCCCACCCCCCACCCCCCACCCCCCCCAAAAAAAATACTTGGTTCAAACAGAGGTAGCATATGATCAAGAGCCAGGGTACTGAAGGAAGACATCTAAGCTGCACTGAAGACACTGGCAAAGTACAAGGCTCTGGGAATTTATAAAATACAAATTGAAATCTTTCAACAAACTGATGCAGCACTAGAGGCACTCACTCATCAATACCAAGAAATTTGGAAGACATCTACCTGGCTAACTGATTGGAAGTGATCATTTTTGTGCCAACTTCAAAGAGATGTGACCCAATGGAATGTGGACATCATCATCCAATTTAATTTTTATCACATCCAAGTAAAATTTTGATAAAGATAAATAAATGGCTGCAACTGTACATTGACAGGGAACTTCCATAGGTTTAAGCCAGATTCAGATGGAGGGGTATCATTGCTGACATCAGCTGAATCTTGGCTGAAAGGAAATGCCAGAAAGATGTTTACCTGTGCTTTATTGACTACACAAATCCTTTTGATTGTGTGGATCATGGCAAACTATGGACAACATTGTGGAGAGTGAGTGTTCTAGAATGCTCATGAGGATCCTGTACATTGATTAAGAGGCAATTGTTAGAACACTGGAACACTGAGTGGTTTAAAATTAGAAAAGGTGTGTGTCCGGGTTGTATTATTTCAACATACTTATTCAGTCTATATGCTGAGCAAATAATATGAGATGCTGTATGAAGAAAAATGTGGCATCGGAGTTGGAGGAAGACTCATTAACAGCCTGCGATATGCTGATGATACAACAACCTTCTTTGCTCTAAGTGAAGAGGTCTTAAAATACTGATGAAGATCAAAGACCACAGCTTTTGGTATGGGTTGCATCTCAATGTAAAGAAAACAAAAATACCACTGAACCAATAAACTACATCTAGCTCTGGTAGCGTAGTGGCTACGAATCGGGCTGCGAACTTAAGGTCAGCAGTTCGAAACTACCAGCCGCTCCGCGGGAGAAAGATGAGGCTTTCTACTCCCGTAAAGATTTACACCCTGGAAACCCTGTACAGGGTCGCTATGGGTCGGAACCGACTCGATGGCACTTAACAACAACAACATATACGTATATATATATAAATGGAGAAAAGATTGAAGTTGTCAAAGACTTCGTTTTGCTCAGGTCAACAAATCACACTCATGGAAGCAAAAGTCAAGAAGTCAAATGATGAGCTGTTTAAAGTGTTGAAGAGCAAAGATGTCAGTTTGAGGACTAAGATGTGACTGACCCAAACCATGTTATTTTCAGTAACTTCATATGAATGTGAAAGTTTGAGAATGAATAAAGAAGACCCTAAAATAATTGATGCATTTGAGTTATGGTATTGAACAAGGACATTAAAAGTACCATGGACTGCCAAAAGATCAAGCAAGTCAGTGTTGGAAGAAGTACAGCTACAATGCACCTTGGAAGCTAGGATGGCCAGACTTTGTCTCTCATATTTTGGACATATTATCAGGAGGGACCAGTTCTTGGAAAATAACATTGTGCTTGTTAAAGTGGAGGGTCAGCGAAAAAAGAGGAAGACCCTCAACGAGATGAATTGGCACAGTGGCAACAACAATGGGCTCAAGTGTAGCAATGATTGTGAGGTTGCTGCAAAACCAGGCAGTGTTTCATTCTGTTGTGCATAAGCTTGCTATGAGTCAATACTGACTCCATGGCACCTAACAACAACAATAATATGCTTTTGGTGCATACAAATGATATGTTCCAAGCTTGATGAGTATTATTTTTTTCTGTTAGCATCTAGATTTGTGCATTTTTATCAGTTAAGTATAATTTTGTATTAGTTAATCAATTTGTGTGTGTTTTGAGGCATTCTTTAAAAATGAACATCAATGGTAATACCACCCTCATAAGAACTGTTATTGTGTGTAGTCGAGTTCAGTCTGACTCCTAGTGACCCTATAGAACTGAGAACTGCCCCATATGGTTTCCTAGGTGCTATAGAATAAGCTCTGGACTGCTAACTGCAACCCTGTATTGGGTTGGTCTGAATTGGAACAGACTAGATGGCATTTAAAAGTTAACAACAACAACCATATTTGACCTGATTGTGAGTGTCTTTTTTCACATTGAAGGGATGGCAGCTTTGCTTAGGCTACTTTTGGGTTATAAACTGAACTCTTAACCATGTGCCTTTAATAAGAAATTAAACACAGCAGTACTGTTGCATCTATTTGTGTTTCTTCTCAATGTATTTAATCCTTTGATTTGAAATGGAGAGAAATTTTGAAAATGATTAACTGAGCATGGTTGAATTTATCAATGAAAATAATGCATGAGGTTCTGCATACATTTTTGACAAAATATAAAAATGGGTTTTTGTCAGTGATATTGATATTGCTACATAGTTTTCACCCTTTGGAGCAATATTAAGAAATGAACTAAGTAAAAATCTGGTGGTATTTTAATTCTTTATGTGAATTTGGTGGTGTTCTGGTGTGGCACTGTAGGATCTACACTGGCATGCTAATTGCAAGGTCGGCAGTTCAAACCCACTAGCCACTCTTTAGAAACTGTATATAGGGTCAGTGTGAGTTAGAACCAACTCAGTGGCACTTATTAACACTAATAACAGTGTGCGTTTAGGGTAGCATATTCAGCCTTTTTTCTGTGGATATTCTGTTACAGCTAGGTTTTTGCACCTGTTTTCCTATCTAATAATTATCTTAAGCTTGACGGTTAGCCTTATTTTCAGCCAACTCATCATCATAATAATGTTTTGTCATTTAATACTAATTTTGACTTAATGTGGCTTATTATTTTCTTTCTTAGATCACTGAAATGCAAGCTGAGAGTAGTTATTACAGCCCTCAGAAAGTCAAATCTAAAGAAGTGTTATGTTGGGAGCAAGAAGGAACTACAGTTGAGGTAATCTTTTAATATTAAATATAGTGTATGTAAGCATATGTGTGTTTATGTTGTTGATATATGTGTGTGCATACATGTGTGTGTATGTATATATATGTTGTTGTTGTTAAGTACCATGGAGTCAGTTCCGACTCATAGCGACCCTGCACAGGGTTTCTGAGGCTGTAAATCTTTACGGGAGCAGAAAGCCACATCTTTCTCCTGCGGAACAGCTGGTAGTTTCGAACTGCCAGCCTTGAGGATTGCAGCCCGATTTGTAACCACTACACTACCAGAGCTCCATATATATGTATATACACATGTCTATCCAAACAGTACATTGAATGGTCTTTACAAATTAGTATTCAATTAATACAATATTCTAATTGCAAATAACAGTTTCATATTTGTAATTTAGAAGCCAGCCTTGGAAACCCTGTGCAGGGTCACTATGAGTTGGAACCAACTCCATGGTACTTAACAACAACAAAATACTGGTTGAAGTAATTATTATTTTAATGAAGATTTTACTGTTATGAGCATCAATTATTTTTTCCCTTTAACCTATCTATACTTATATCTATATATGGATGGATATGTGTGTATTAGAATCTAGTGTGGTGCTTTAAGATAAGCAATGACTGTAAAATTGGTTTGAATCGTAAGGTTGGTGGTTTAAATGTGCTAGTCGCGCCTCAGAAACCCTGTCTAGTTGGAACTGACTAGATAGCACTTAACAACAACAATGTGTGTATTAACGTTCATGAAGTGATAATCTGTGAGAATAAAAAAGTTGAAGGACACAAAGGCAAGTAAAACCTTTTTTGCTTTAATAAAACTTATGATCAAAGAAAAGTAAATTTGCAGTGGCCAAATCTTAAAGATACTTGACTAATTTAGACATTCTGCAAGGAAACTGTAGCATTTTATTGAATTCTAGTTTTTAGTTCTGATATGTTTCCTTTCCTCTTACAGGCCCTAATGATGGGAGAGCCATTCTTTGATTGCCAGATTGGTTTTGTAGGTTGCCGAGCCATGTGCCTTAAAGCCATTATGGGTATCAAAGATTTTGAAGAGAATATGACTAGAAGTGAAACAGTAAGTCAGAATATATTTTTAATCTTCCTTTCTTTGGTTAGAATAAATGAGTAGAAGGCAATATAACACATCAAAAAATTTTCCTGTTTATTTTTTGATAGGATACTTGTATATTAATTTGCTAGATGTTAGATCTAGAAAAATATGTTAGATTATGTAAGTCTGGCTTAAGTGAGGAGCTTTACTATTTTTTCCATTAAGTTGTAGAGCTGAGGGGACTATAGAAAATTGGTAGTTTTTAACATCTGAACAGTTTTAGTATAAGAAACTTTCCAATATATAAATGTTTCTCCTTTGTTGTTTATATCAGCTAATTTGAATTCTTTTTTAGTTTGTTAAAATATTCTTTGCCAAAATAGGCACTAAAAATAGAGATGGTATTCCTTGTCTTTTTTACAAGGCCGTAACTTGTAGTGATTCCTTTTGACTAATGAATATATTTAAAAAAACCCAAAAACAACAACCCATGATTTTTTTTTTAACAATCTGTTGAGTTTGCTACCTTTAAAATTTTTTCATTTCTTTTCAGGAAGCCTGTTTCTTCATTTGTGGAGAAAATTTGAGTACAAAAGGTTTGACATACCTTACAAATTCATTGTTTGATTACCGAAGCCCAGAAAATAATGGTACTCGTGCAGAGTTTATCTTAGATGCGGCTCATCATAAGGTCAGAGAACATGCATTTAAGCCTAATACACTGTTTGGGTGGACACATTGTGTGAATTCTTGTGATTGCCGTCGGTCCTCTTAAATAATTTCTTCTGAATTACACATTTTAATTGAAATATTTAGAATGTTGTCGTCTAGCGTCTTTGTTTAGAAAGGTTTTAGGAGTTCCAAGTGAGTCTTTATATAACCACAGTTTATTTATTTAAGCTAAGCACTGGACTGCAAGGTTGGTGGTTCAAACACACCAGCTGCTTCTTAGCAACTCTGTACAGGGTTGCTGTGAGTCAGAACCAAGTCAGTGGCACTTAGCAACAACAGTGACAACTTTCAGAATAATCATGGAGAGCATTTAAGCTTCTGTGTGTTAATATTGGTTATTTCTAGGGTGTGAACTTGAGGGGAAAAGATAGATAATTTCATTTTTATTTGTGCTTTTCAATGTTTGAGTTTCTCATGTGATATAATCATGTATGTTTATGTAATAAAGTAAAATACTCCAAAAAAGTAACTTGAAGATTAATAGAATAACTTGCTTTTAAATCCTTTTCATTAAGATTTAATTTCAAATCTGAAATGAAAGAATCTGATGTTTATCTGCCTAGTTAACATATGTTTTGAATATTTTAGTATACCTTGAGTGTTTGAGCTGTTTCATGTCAGTGTAGTTAAATATTTAAGGATTAGCTCTATTTGAAAGTATACATTATTAAGCAGTTGTATGAATGTGATAAAGGTCAAGATTGTACTATATACTCCATTATAGGTATTCATTAACCAGACATTATTGATAAAGTGGTCAAATTGTCTAATAGAATTAAAAGTTTCTTTTGTAGTCTATAATAGAGATAACATTACCATTCTTTGAAGTAAATTCTTTGGATAACCTGTTCTTCTGTTTTAGTAATTCTTTGAATTGATACGCATTCTATTTAAGGATAATATGTGTTTGAGTCTTGTCCTGTTGGATTTTAATTCAGAAGCCTCTTACTTATTCAACGTTTGCTCTGTTTGCTTTGCTCTGTTGGCAGGAGACATACACTGAGATGGCTGGGATGCAGAGGTTTGGGGCTTTTTACATGGATTACCTGTATACAATGGAAAACACCAGTGGCAAAGGTACTGGCTTTTTTCCTTTATGTTTACATTTCTTTTAACAACAGAAACAAAACTTCTTTACAATCAGTTGGTCCTTGATTGGCATATTCTGTTACATCAGATATGCCTTCTAATACTTTTAATGGTTTAAATTTAATGTCATTGTAGAATTTTCTTAGATTCTTGGCATCATAAATCCTTTTTTGTGTGCAGATTATTGAAAAGAAATTTCGTATAGCTACTTAGAAATAGCTATACATTTTGTATGTTGTTGTTGTTAAGTGCCTTCGAGTCGGTTCCGACCCATAGCGACCCTGTACAGGGTTTCCGAGGGTGTAAATCCTTACAGGAGTAGAAAGCCTCATCTTTCTCCTGCGGAGCAGCTGGTAGTTTCGAACTGCTGACCTTAAGGTTCGCAGCCCGATTCGTAACCACTACGCTACCAGAGCTCTAACTAGAAATAGTTAGCTATACAAAGCTCTTCTAGAGGAAGACCCCCAATGGGATGAATTGGCCAAGTGGCAGCATCAGTGGACTCAAGTGTGGTAACAATAGTGAGGTTGGCCCAGGATCAGGCAATGTTTTGTTCTGCTGTGCATAAGGTTGCTATGAGTCAGTACTAACTCAGTGGCACCTAACAACAACAACAACAAACTAGAAATATATACCAAATAGTAAAATTTCAATACAGGCTGTCTCCAGGTTACAGATGTCCAATTTGTAGACAACTTCGGTTTGCTCTTTAATTCATGGCTTTGAGTCAGTTGTTGTGGCTAATGAAAGTGAAACAGAAACAGACTAGGATTTTTACAGTTTGGGTGATTCATCATGGTAACTGTTGTGGGAAATAGTAGTTGAAGCCTTGGAATGGGGGACTTGAAGAGACATACTGAGGCATTTCAGGAGCCTGATGGGTAAGACTGGATTATTGGCAGGCCTGAGGAAAGCCATGCACATTCAGAGTGGCTTGGTTTGCCTCCATTTTTGTGTGAGGTCCCATCATTTTTAAGCCCTTCTTTAATGTTTGTTGATTTGCCTGCAGGTTAGAATGATTGAATTAACTCCTACCAGTAACAAATCACAATCACCTTCACTTGCTGCTTGTGCAGCTTTTGAATTATTTGAAAAGACATTGAGCTTTTTCTTGCACTAATTCAGGCTAAATAAGAACTGTGTATAAATATAGTAGTATAAATAGAGAACTATGAGAAGTCTAGATAATAAAGTAGTTATTTGTACCTGTTGGCCAAAGACTTCATGGTGGAGTTAGTCTTAAAGGATTAGTAAGTTTTGCTAAATAAACAGAAAAAATGACCAATAATTTTCTGCTCCTTTTTTGGATTTCTAAATTTTTGTTAATCTCTAGGTTCACTTCTTGAGGATAGTCTCATTCTTCTTAATGTGTCATGATATAATCTCATGGTTTCTTAGGAATTTAAATATCATCTGTCTATTGATGTCTATGGGAGATATAAATGGTTTTCATATGATTAGTAACCTAATGGATTGTTGTTCACACCCACCCAGCAATCTGCTTCTGGAAATATTAAAGCTAAGACAATCTTGTGGAGTTCTACTTTGTAGCACATGGGGTTCCATGAATTGGAATTGACTTAATGGCAGTAGGCTTAGTTTTGTTTGTGTCTATTTGTATTTATAGTCAAAACTGCTTCTTTAAAGTTTACAATTAAATACCCAGCACATATTGGCCATTCTACTTGTATTTCATAAATACCTCAAATTTTTATGTCTAAAATAGAATTGTCTGTATGGCCATCCATACCAACAGCTAAGGTAACTTAGTAGTAAAATGCAACTTTCTCCAGAATAACGTTTCTTTAGTCCATGTAAAGTTGTTAGATATAAGCCATTTAGTTATTACAGAATAATTATCTAACAAAGACCAGTTTGCTTATATAATACTTTTAACATTCAATAGATAACAGGAATAATTTTTTAAAATCTCATATGCATAGAAAAATACACAGATCAATAGAATTGTGTAATACCAAATTAAGAATTAGTTTTAGGATGTTAAGCTATAAGCTAAAAAGGTGAGAAAAGAATAATAAAATATGAGGAGGCTTCAGAAAATTCTTGGAAATATTCCATTATCTTTTAATTCCTTTCTTTTGCAAATTTTTTTGAAGCCCTTTGTATTTACTTGGTGGTGTATCTGGTTGATGTATAAAGTATTAATATGAACTCTGACTTCTTCTAGGTTCTGCAAATCAGCAAGACTTTTCTTCAGGGAAGATTGAAGATTTGGGAACACTTCAGGAGAAGTCTATCAAAAACCTTGTTATAGGTCCTCTTGATTTTCGTTTGGACAGTAGTGCAGTACATAGGATTTTGAAAATGATTGTTTGTGCCTTGGAACATGAATATGAACCATATAGCAGACTAAAACCAGGTTTGTGTTTAGTTTGAGTTTGAATCTATTGTATAACCCAGTTTGTGTGATTTTGTTAACATTTTAGTATATTTTGCCTATCTACAAAGATTTTTATATATGCAAGTGTTAATTTAAAGAATACATTTTTGTGTGGAAGGTATAGTTATGTAAAGTACTTTGTTTATCAGTATTTTGTCAAACCTTTTTTCTTCTTTTTCCGGTATTGAGAAAAATGACCATTTTTCATGTCAGTGGAATCTACAGAGACAGACATGAAGATGAACTCTAAACATGTAAATTTAAAATTCCAGAAATCTTAGGTAGTATCAGTAAAAAAGAATCTTCTGTACAACTTTAATTTTTCTACATAGTGTGTGAATATGGTTATCAGTTTCATGATAATAAAAACATTTTTAATGTAATAAAGTAACTCTTAAATATAGTAGAACATAATATGTTGAAGGTGGGTATAGGGTAATTGTTAAAAACTCAACCAATGGGATCAGGGTATGGTTTCAGTTTTACCTCCTACTTTTTATTGATTTCTTGTTGTTGTTAAGTGCCATTGAGTTGATTCCAATTTATAATGACTCTGTAGAGGGTTTCCAAAAAGTGGCTAGTGAAACTACCAACCTAGGAAATTTAAATAATATCTCTAATGTTCCATTTCCCTATCTCTATAATAAGTATTACTGTTGTGACAGTGATAGCTAATTGTCTCCCCAGTGCCCATTCTCTTCTTACTATATAACAATGGAAATGAGTGTAGTAATCCAAATTAGCACTATACATCACAGGCATACTCTTAGGACTAGGTTTTGCCTACTGGTATGGGAGTAGCACTTTGTGTGAACTTTTGGTCCATGATTTTAAAAGGAAAAGAGCATGCCTTCCTTTTTCTCTATGTTCCTTGTGGCTAGAATGCAGATGTAATTACAGAAGGAGATGGATTCTGAGCTGAAAGCTGCATGCTGGGCTAGCCAGAGTTACAAGGTAGAAAGAACCTAGATCCTCAGTACTGTTGTAACAGCTTGTCAGTCCTGGATCTCTTAGAATTAGGTTATATGAAAGAGACATAAACTTCTGTTTGTTTTGAAACTTCTTGAATTTTGGCTTTTGTCACAGCTACTAAATTAAAAATCCTCACCACTGGACCAATAAACAACATTCTTATCAATGGAGAAAAGATTGAAGTTGTCAAGGACTTCATTCTTCTTGGATCAACTATTAACACTCGCAGAAGTAGCAGTCAAGAGATCAGACGATGTATTGCACTGGGCAAATCTGCTGCACTGGAACTTTTTAATGTGTTGAAGAGCAGAGATGTCAGCTTGAGGACTAGGGTGCGCCTGACCCAGGCCATTGTATTTTCAATAGCCTCATATGGATGCGAAAGCAGGACAGTGAATAAGGAAGATCGTAGAAGAATTGATGCCTTTGAGTTGTGGTGTTGGAGGAGAATACTGAAAGTGCCATGGACTGCCAAAAGAACCAATAGATCTGTTTTGGAAGAAGTGCAGCCAGAGTGCTCCTTGGAGGCCAGGATGGCTAAGCTTCGTCTCTCCTACTTTGGACATATTGTCCAGAGGAAATAATTGTTGGAGAAGGATGTCATGCTGGGTAGGGTGGAGGGTCAGAGAAAAAGAGGAAGACCCCCAACGAGATGGATCAGCCAGGTGGCATCATTGATGGACTCAAGTGTGGCAGCGGTAGTGAGGTTGGCCCAGGATCGAACATTGTTTTATTCTGGTGTGCATGGGGTCGCTATGAGTCGGTTCCGACTCGATGGCACCTGACAACAACAACAACAGCTAAATTGTTATTCTTGTTAAGTGCTGTCAAGTTGTTTCTGACTCATAGTGGTTCTAACTCATATAGCGTTTCCAAGAAGTGGGTGGTGGGTTTGAACCGCCAACCTTGTGGTTAGCAGTTCAGTGTTTATCCTATAGCGGGATACCAAGACTCCTTATGATACACTAATAAGACCAACTTCCAAATGATACAAAATCAAACCCAACCCACTGCCTTTGAGTCTATTCTGACTCATTCCAACCCTCTAGAATAGAGTAGAACTGTAAATTGTGGAACAACCTCACATGTTAGTTTCCTATATATACCGTGAGCATTATGGGTATGGGCGCATTATATGTGAAAAATATAGTATACATATATAAGGGTGTGTATGCATTAAATCCTAAGTAGTGAGCAGTTTTGAGCACCCCACTCTTAGCTTTTTTCTTGAAGCATAATATATGTGTTACTGTCTCAGAAGTAGGATAGTATCCAATTTCAGTCCCTTTGTGCTTCTATTCCTGGTGTGGCGCTGTGGGTTAATGCGCCAGATTGCAAAGCCATTTCAACTGTAAGATTGGCGGTTTGGAAACCAGCTGCTCCTTGGAAACCCTATACAGGCTCGCTGTGGGTTGGAACCGACTCGATAGCACTTCACAACAACAACAATACTTCTGTTTACTACCCTGACCCCAAAAGTAGCCACTCTTCTTCCATCTGACATCATATATTTAATTAAGTATTATTTTTGAATTTCTTTAAATGGAAAAAAAGGAAAAAAAATGTACTCTTTTGTGTCTGGCTTTTGCTCACATTATTTTATGTGAGTCAGAACCGACTTGATGGCACTTAACAACAACAATGTTGTTTATTTATCCATTCTGCTATTGATAAGTAGTTAGTGTCTGCTTTTCTTAAGGCTGCAGTGGTATAAAACAACAGAAGCATATTTTCAGTTCAGGAGACTGGAAGTCTAAAATCCAGGTATCCTCTGAGGGCTCAGGGGGAAGAATCCGTCTTTGTCTCTTTTAACAAATAAATCATGATCATTCCTTGGTTTGTAGCTGTAGCTTTCCAATTTCCGCCTCTTCTCACGTGCCTCTCTTCCCTCAGTGTGTGAGTCTGTTTCTGAATTTCTTTCTCCTGATAAGGATGTATTTAGTAACCCATCGTTAGTCCAGTAATGGAGCCTTGGTAGTGTAATGGTTAAGCACTTAACTCAGCTATAAAGTCTCTGACTCGAACCCATCAACTACTCTACTGGAGAAAGATATATCAGTCTGGTCTTATGCAGATTGCATCGTAGGAAGAAACCCTTTATGGCAATTCTTCTCTGTCCTGAGTTCACATTGACTTGACTGCAATGAATAGGTTGTTGTTGTTGTGTGCCATCGAGTCGGTTCTGACCTATAGCCACCCTGTGTAGGGTTTCCAAGGAGCTGCTGGTGAGCTTGAATTGCCAACCTTGCAGTTCAAACGGCTTTGCAGTCTAAAAAATATTTATAATTAAAAACTAGTAATTTTTTGAATGGGAAGTTTTATATATTCTAGAATAGTATGATTTTTATTTATTAAAAGCAACAAATTATTTTACAACTATTTCACTGTTTTAAAAAAATGGAGTTTTACCTTAAATTGTTGGAATAAATTAATTCATTTTTCAATGACTTAAGAAAATTATTTAAAAGTTATTTTTCATTGCTTTTATTATAGAAATTAAGGAAGAAAATGAAACACTACTGAATCATGAAGAAGTGGCAACTCTTGAGCAATATATTCCTACTCGGTTTACAAGTGTTACTCTCCTCAAATGTACCTGCACAATTTTCATGGCTGAGTTCAACTTGCTGGGCCATTTGATACCTGTAATTATGGGAGAAAAGGTATATTTTGAGATTCATTACTTCATTTTTTTTCTCATATGCATTAGCTGTTGTGTGGTACAGTTAAGATGATTGAGTAAAAAAAAATACCTGCTTATATAGTTATCTTTGATGAAGTAAAAATAATTTAACTATAATTGCTAAAGCTTAGAAAGTAGTTTTATACCTTGATACATGTAATTTTAAAATAAAATAAAATGAAATAAAGAGTGTATAAATAAAATATTGAGGAGGAACAAACAAGATGGTGGATCAGATGGAAGTGCAGTAAGGAGCTCTGTCAGCAACAACACAGAATACAGGATCAAGCAGGCTCAGGGGATGGTCCCAGAACTCTGAACCACATATAAAGGAATATTAAGCAGGTTGGAAGGCTTACAGCTAGGGGAATTGGTAGCAGAAGCAAGAAATCCAGTGCTTTCTAATTCAAGACGTTCTCCTGCTCCTGGAGCTGCCATCACTGGCGAGACCAAGTGGGGGAAGGATCAGAGCAGCCACAGACTCCTGACAGAACCACGGAGATAAAGGTGTGGACACTTTTTTTTTGGTATCTGTTCATTGGTCCCTCACTGTCTGTGCACCTCTATTCTGGTGATTAGAGGGGTGCCTGAACTAGTGGACACCCCACCCCCGGAGGGTTATATTACACATGAGCACGGATCTCCTCAAAATTTAAAGGGACAGTTCCCACTTAAAACCAAACAGCAGTGCAAAATGGCCACAGCTCGCCCTAAACTGTGTATTACTAGGAAAAAGGCCTGAATGGGAGTTGTGGAGCAGGACAGGCGACTAAAAAGGAAACAGGCCGAAAATTAAATCCTGAATTACGACGGTGTAATCAAAACATTCCAGGATAAACCGAAGCTCAGGGATTTTGCCAAAGCCAACCCTGCAATGAAAAACATTCTAAAGGGAGTTCTGTGGACTGAGAACCAATGAGAATAGACAACAATCAGAGATTGACATACATGGCAGCATCACCTGGAACTCAGATGACAAATGGAAGCGTCGAGAATAAAACTATAAGAACAAATTCAGAGGATCTGGGAGATCAGTTTATGATCAAAACAATTACAATTTGAAAGAAGGTAAACAAGAGGAACAGAGATCTAGGTGGTGAGAAGATCAGGTAGATTGCTGGATAAAATAGACTGTCTTAAATGGAGGGAAAAGTTAGTGGAATAAAAGGTAACCACAATGATGGGGTGTTGTGGGGGGTTTGGGGGAGGTGGAGCGAGGCGACGGTAGAGCACAGGGTAAGGGCAGACACATCATAGTATGGGTGTTGGGGAGGGCAATACAAGAAGGGGGAGGAGGTGAAGAACAAAGTAGATAGGGGAACACTGAGACAGGTTTGCATGGGCTAAGTGGGACAGATAAATAGTGATTCATGCTCAACCTTGGGACAACAGATCCTGTGATACAGGGATCTAGGCATAGTTTGAAAAGGGGAAGTAATACTAAGATGCTTGACTGTCTTATGAATATTGATTTCCCTTACCTACTACTGTAAAATAGACACTTGAGTGGGATAGAAAGGAATATTGGGAAACATGATTACAGAAAACTTGTAAGCCCATCTTCAGCCTATAACTGATTGTTGTTGTTGTTATGTGCCATGGAGTCGGTTCTGACTCATAGCGACCCTATTCAGGGTTTCTGAGGCTGTAAATCTTTATGGGAGCAGAAAACCTCATCTTTCTCCCATGGAACAACTGGTAGTTTCGAACTGCTGACCTTGCGGTTCGCAGCCCGACTCGTAACCACTACGCTACCAGAGCTCCTTTATAACTGATTGGAATACCTAAAAGGGGTTCTAGAACTTGCCCAGTGAAAAAGAACTCTTGCGGAGCCTTTGCTGAGTACAGGACCTTAGGTGGAATCATGAGTTCCATTCAGAAACTTCTGAGGTGGGACATACCCACTAGAAAGGACAAGCAGACCAGCCTGGAACAGCTAGAGCGACAGAAGATACATCTTCAAAGAAAGATCATCAGGAAAAACCCAAAACAAAAATGTAAGTATGACTGGCTACTACAAGAATAAGCAAGTTGTTCTCCAGGAAGTCATCAAGGCAAGCAATCAAGTTAATTCAGGACAAACCCCTCTAAGACTGAAACTCAAAGGGAACACATGAGCAGGCATATAGGCTTGTTGATGACCACATTAGTCTGCTGGTGAGTGGAAGAGGGGGAAAGACAGCAATGAAGAAATGGGCTGAGTTCAACCATGGCTCATTGACTCCCGTTGACCTGGAGAAGAGAGAGAGAAGAAGAGGAAGGGCTGGTTGGTCCAAAGTGTGGTGAGACTTAGGGACACCTGAACCTATGGATAAGAACATAGCCGCAGAAAGCTAGAGCTGAGAGTGAATCATCCAACTAATATGATGTGAAGGGAGATGCACAAGAACGCCCAAATTTGCAGGTAGTACCCATTTGACCTAGCCTTGATGGTTTGATAATCAGAACTTGACTAGAGGAAGATAAAAAACAACAACACAGCAACAATTTTTGATAAAGGAAACAAGGGTAAATTGCTACAATATGATAAACCTGACCTAAACTCGTGGAGGTAGTAACTCTAAATAGCAATAGAGAGGGAAAGAGTCTTCACATGAAGTATCAGTGCTATCCCCTCTGTACATAGGGTAGGTAGGGAAGGGCAACTTAGACATTGGCTACCTAAAGTAAGAGGGCGATAAAGGCATGAAGTGATTGGTTTACGAGGTTTCAAGAGGGAGTTCAATTTAAGAGTGTGTCGGGGAAGAAAGAGTCCACACTGCATAGTTGTCATCTTGTCTAGAAGGGTCTGATTAAAAGAGATGGGGATAAGATTCCTATGATTTAACTGTGACTCATGTAGAGTAATTGTTATCATGACTAAATGCGATTGTTACAACTGTGAAGGCAGAAGTTTTGTTAACAAAAATGGGGAGTAGTTAATCTTACAGTCCAGAAACATAGGACCCTAAAACCTAGGGAGAAGAGCATGAGCGGAATGTGGAACTACCATAGATGAAGTAGAGATGGGGACATGAAGAGGGGGAGCAGCTGAGGACTCTAGATTCATCAGAAGAGAAGGACAGTCCTTTGGTGAGGATTCAGTTGCACAGTAAAGCTGAGGAGTTTCATAGCCTTCAGTTATGCTGTAGGGAGGGTGAAGTAGAAAACGGCTAGTTCAAACAATGGGCTCAATGATTATGAAGAAGGCAAGGGCCAATTAATGTTCCTTTTCTTATATATTACATCGTTATGAGTCAGAACCGATTCTATGGCACCTAACAACAGCAATCATTTTATTTTTTTAAAATATTTTTTTGTGTATGGTTTATGTGAAACTTACATTGGTTTCCAATTCAGCAATTTATACATCGATCAACTAACAGTATGTTAGCACTCACCCCATTTTCATCTTGTGTTCCCTGTTTCCATTTTCCTGCTCCTTCTTGCCTTCTTAAAACATTACTTTTGCAAATGCTGGCCTTTTGGTCTCTTACACTCCATCATTCTGAGGATCAGGTTCCTCCCGGGTGTTACTGTTTACTTTATAGGTGTGTCTTTTATGTGCCTAAAGAATGATCTCTCTGAGTGACTTCAGTTCTAAGTTGGAGGGTGTCTAAAGGCAATCATCTTGGGGATTCCATTAGTATCAGAACAATAAGTCTGATCTCTTTATAAATTTTAATTTTGCTCTATCTTTTCTTCCCACTCTATCTGTTACCTTCTTATTATGAACCTAGTCAGAGCAGTAGGTGGTAGTAGCTGAGTGCCTTGCAGTTCTTCTGGTCTCAGGTTAGTGGAAGCTGTGACTCATGTAGTCCTTTGGATTAACTGTTGCTTGAGTCTTTGGTTTTCTTTACTTATCTCTGTTCTAGATGGAAAAAGACTAATAGTTGTGAACTTAGATGGTCATGTGTAAGCTTTTAAGACCCCAGTTGTTACTTACCAGAGTTGCTGCTGTTGTTAAGTGCCATTGATTTGGTTCCGACCCACAGCGTCCTTGTATAGCGTTTCCAAGGAGTGGCTGGTGAGTCGGATGTATGATAATCATGTTTATGACAGTTCACCTAGGTATCTCCCAAGACTAAGGTCTCTAGCCCTGAAGCCCAGCATCTCAGTCCTGGAAAACAATTGGTTATTACTAAGGGTTTTCATGACTTTGCTCACTGTGTGCTCTGTCATGTAGATGGATTTGTTTGTAGAATGTACAAATGTATATATAGGAATACTTGCCACCAATCCTGTATATGCATGTGTGTGTACTCCTATTTAGCCTGCATAATTATGTAGGTATCTACATTTACAGTATTGTTAGTACTTCTGTTGTAGGATTGTATATGTAATAGCATTTACCATCATTGCCTTTTGCTCTTGAGTACTTTTCAGTGTCTTCCTTTACCTTGGTTATGTTGTGCTGACTTTCCTCATATCACAGTGTATTGTCTTTCACTTCACTAAAGTTAGACGTGATTTTCCCTCTCACCTCTTTTCATCCCTTCTTCTCATGTTTTCTTTCTGTGTTTAAACCTTTTCTTGACTTTTTATCATTGTGATCTAATGCAATATTTTACCTTTTACAACTGATTTAATTCACTTACCATAATGTTCTCCAGATTTAGCCATGTTGTGAGATGTCTCATGAACTCAGCATTATTCTTTCATGAACACCAACCATCTTTATCTCACAATAGCAAAAACAAAAACAGCCCCAGAACCCCAAACCCATTGCCATTGAGTTGATTCTAACTCATAACAACAAATATGCCCCATAGGGTTTCCAAACCTGTAAATGTTTGTGGAACATTTTTAATAATAAGTGATCCAAATTTTTCTCTTGCAGAGTGGCTGGCAAGTTTGAGCTGCTGATCTTTCAATTAGCAGTAAAGCGTTTGTGCCATCTCTGATAAATGTAGTATAGCACCTCATGTATTGTAACAGTGGAAAAGAAACCAAACAGTGTTTATCCTATATATGTTCAGTTACTTCTAGATGGGAGCTCATACTCTTCCTTATTGGGAACCAAAGGGGAGGGCATTTTAAGGGAGTAAGCTATTTCTAGAACAGGACGGGGTTGTGTGTCTGCTAATCAGAGTACATACTCTGGACATCTTGAGACTTGTATGCATTTATATGGAGGCTCAAAAAGATTCTATAACTAAGAATACCACCCACATCTTAGGATTCTTAGGACTTTATGAATACTTAGTATGAATTATTAGTAGATATGCATAGTGGTTACGAATCGGGCTGCGAACCTTAAGGTCAGCAGTTCGAAACTACCAGCCGCTCCGCGGGAGAAAGATGAGGCTTTCTACTCCCGTAAAGATTTACACCCTCGGAAACCCTGTATAGGGTCGCTATGGGTCGGACCCAACTCAAAGGCACTTAACAACAACAACAACAACAACAATGATATGGGTCAGAATTTTTTCTCTGGCAGACTTTATTGTGAATATCTTTGACACTATCTGGAGTAGCTCACTTAGTTCCCTGGTTATTTACATGTGAATAAAGGAAAAGAAAATGAAAGATCCTGACTCTGGGTTATCTGGGAAGTCTTTTGGAATGATTGAGTTTACGATACTGAGGCACTTAGGTTTATAATTCCAGTTGGTTGAAAAACAAAAAAGATTTACCTACAAGACCAATGATACTTTTGTAATGAACATGCATTCTTTGAAATCTGCAACATATGGAAACATATATAGAAGATATTTATATTTGATTGTGGCAGGGGAGTTTTTTTTTTTTAGAAAGGTATTTCTATATTGATTTGATGTTCTGTAATTGTGTAAGTTTAAAGCTTACACAAAGGGATATTGTACATTAATCACTAGTCTACTTCTGAAATGTAAATGAACACCGTTATTTTCTAGAGCTTGGGTAACTTCACGAATACTGCAAACTTCCAGCCTCTTAGACCTTTGCCATCCATTCAGATATTGGTGGATAAGATTAATCTGGAACATTCTGTGCCAATGTATGCAGAACAGTTGGTGCATGTGGTCAGCAGCCTTACTCAGCCTTCTGATAATTTGCTTCATTATTGTTATGCACATTGCTACCTTAAGGTAAGAAAAATTATTTCTTTTGTTGTTTGTTAGTATCTAGTTAGTTTTAGGAGCTTCAGATAAGTTTCTTCTTTTTTGAAGTGGTAGTTTCCAGACATAGCACCCCCCCAAAATGAGAATTAAATAAGAATTTAAGCAGCTTTGTAATTATTTCAATACAATAAAAAGTACTGATTTTAAAGACATTTCTTCAGTTATTTCTTTTTAGTAGCTTGATGCTTGTATAATTAATGATAAAAATAACTTGAACATTTAATAAAGTGTTTCTGATGATATTTGTAATGATATGAAAGAGAACTTCAATATGTACACTTTAAAAGATTTTAAAATCACAAAAAATGGTTTCTATGAAGGGAATAGTTATGTGAAGTATGATTATTTATAAAAAGTTATATAATTCATGTTTTAATTATTTTTCTCTTATTCATTCTGATTTCTTGTTGCAGAGGGAAAATCTCTTATTATATTAAATCAAGTTATGTAAAGTGAATTATTAGAAAGTTGGCCAAACTGTGTCTTTTTTTTTTTTTAAATAATAAGTAATATATCTCAGTCCAGGTGCATGCAACCAGGTAAACTCAGATGTTGAAACCTGTCTGCTTTCTGGCAGTGCACAGGGTTCTTTCCAGATATTCTAGTGATATTTGTTGTTGTTGTTAGGTGCCCTTGAGTCAGTTCTGACCCATAATAACACTTTATAAGGTTTCTGAGGAGCTGCTGACTGAAATATGAAGTTCTTTCCATGTTGGAGACACTTTAGCATAAGATAAATAAAGCATACGCCACTCTCAAGGTAGTCACCAAGACCATTAGTCACTAATATTGTAACCATCAATGCTGATGTAAAAGATACTGATACAACTTGTTCATCACTTCTGTTTAATATGTTAAAAATTCAATTAAATTGTCAGTGTGATGGTTACTATTTCGTTTGTGTGAAATTATGTGTTGGGCAAAAGGTTTTTGCTATACTTGCAGTCTACTTATCTTTTTGTACTTTGTTGTTGTCATGTGCTGTGGAGTCAGTTCTGACTCATAGCGACCCTGTACAGGGTTTCCGAGGCTGCAGATCTTTACGGGAGCAGAAAACCTCATCTTTCTCCCTCAAAACAGCTGGTAGTTTTGAACTGCTGACCCTGAGGTTCACAGCCCAATTTGTAACCACTACACTACCAGAGCTCCTTTTTATACTTTGGTCAGCTATAATTTTTAAGTTAAATGTATAAGTAAGGCATTTGCCAGAGTGACAATAGTAAAATATATGTATAAAAATTCTCATAATTATGTCAAACTTTTTCATAATCCTATTGTAGTCCTGGTGTGGCGCTGTGGGTTAATGTGCCAGACTGCAAAGCAGTTTCAACTGCAAGGGTGGCGGTTCAAGCTCACCAGCTGCTCCTCAGGAACCCTATACAGGGTCGTTATGGGTCGGAACTGACTCGACGGCACTTAACAACAACAACAACAACAAAATTGCACACTTAATAGACTATAAAGCATTGTGTGAACGTAATTGTTAACATGCATTGGGAAACCAAAAAATTCATGTACTACCTTTATTGTAACATTCCTATTTTTGCAACAGTATCCACAATATCTCTGAGGTATGCCTGTGCCTTTTTTTTGCTACATATTCAAGCAAATGCTTGAATTTCATATACCTAAATTTGATCATTTGACTAAATGAATAAATTGTGTATAGTTTTCACTACATGTAATGACATGTATTAATTGAGAAAGTTAGAATAAATGTCTGAAAAAAGCATGCAGATGATGCTTTCTTAGACTTTTCCAAGTTCACTTTATTTATCTGGTAAATCTATCCTTTGAATATAAATATGGCATTGAGTATCTAAGACATCGCAAGGCATCTGAAATTTGAAATGTGGAAAAGTTATGGGAAAGCACCCTATAAACTAGGATCATGTATAAGTTTAAGATCCTGCTATTCATAAGGAACAGCAGTTGCAGATGCTTCAGAGACATCAAGAGGGCAATAGTGGAATCAAAACCATTTGAATTCATTGGGTTTTATAAATTTTTATCACAAATAAGCAGTATTCATTGGGGATTTGGAGGAAATGGTGATTTCATATATGATTGGTAGCTATATAAACTCATATTGTCATTTTGGAGAGTACTTTGGCAGGGTCTAATAAATTTGATCCAGTAAATTTCAAAGGGCAGCTCATGATGACAAAGTAAAGTATTATGATGAAGTGTGCAAAGACCTGGAGTTAGAAAACCAAAAGAAAAACACTCAACATTTCTCAAGTTGAAAGAACTGAAGAGAAAATTCAAGACTTGGGTTGGAGTATTGGAGGATTCTATGAGAAAATATTGACTGATAGAGGAAGCATCAAAAGAAGATGGAAGATACACACAGTCACTGTACTAAAAAGAGGTAGCGTATGATCAAGAATCGACGGCACTGATAAAGAAGTTCAAGCTACACTGAAGACATTGACGAAAGACAAGGCTCTAGGAATCGATGGAATACAGATTGAAATTTTTCAACAAACTGATGCTGGAGGTGCTCACTCATATATGTCAAGATATTTGCAAAGTAGTCACCTGGCCAACCATTTGGGAAAGATCCATATTTGTGCCCATTCCAAAGAAAGGTGACCCAGTGGAATGCAAAAATCATTGAACATATCATTAATACCACATGCAAGTAAATTTTTGCTGAAGGTAATTCAAAAATTGTTGTAGCAGTACATCAACTGGGAGCTGCCAGTATTTCAACTTGGATTCAGAAGAGGATGTGGAACTAGGGATATCATTGCTGACATCAGATGCATCATGGCTAAAAGCAGAGAATACCAGAAAGATACTTACTTGTGCTTTATTGACTATCAAAAGGCATTAAACTTGTGGATCACAACATACTAGGGGTAATACTCTGAAAAGTTGGTATTACAGAACACTTCATTGTAATCATGAAGAACCTGTACATAGACCAAGAGGCAGCTGCTAGACCCAAACCAAGGAGCTACTGAATGGTTTAACATCAGGAAAGGTGTGTCCCAGCATTGTATCCTTTAACCATACTTCTTCAGTCTGTATGCCAAACAGATAATCTGAGAAGCTGTATGATATGAAGAAGTATATGGCACCAGGATTGGAGGAAGACTTGTTCACAACCTGTAATATGCAGATAATACAACCTTGTTTTGCTGAAAGTGAAGAGGACTAACAATACTTAGTGATGAAGATCAAAGACCACAGCCTTCAGTATGGATTGTACCTCAGTGAAAAAACAAAAATTGTCATAACTGGACCAGTAAATAACATCATGATAAACAGTAAAGATTGAAGTTGTCGAAGATTTCATTTTGCTTGCATACATAATAATGCTTATGGAAGCAGTAGTCAGTAAATGAAATGACATATTGCATTAGGCAGATCTGCTGCAAAAGATCTCTTTAAAGTGTTCAAGAACAAAGATGCCATTTCGAAGACCAAAGTGTGCCTTATCTAAGCCATGGAATTTTCAGTTGCTTTGTCTGCGTGTGAAATTGGTTAGTAACTAAGTTAGAACACTGAAGAATCCATACATTTGAATTAGGGTGTTTTCAAAGAATGTTGAAAATACTGTGGACTGTCAGAAGAACAAACAAATTTATTTTGGAAGAAATACAACCTGAATGCTCCTTAAAGGCGAAGATGGCAGGCTTTATTGCTTGTTCTTGGAGAAGGACATTATGCTTAGTAAAGTGAAGGGTCAATGAGAAAGAGGAAGACCTCCAACAAGATTGATTGGCACAGTGGTGGCAACAGGGGCTCAAACATAACAATTGTCAGGATGATATAGGACCAGGCAGTGTTTTGGTCTGTTGTATATTGGGGTCACTATGAGTCAGAATTGACTCAAAGACACCAAACAATAATAGCAACAACACTTAATTGGAAGCGTGTCTACTTTACTACCCATCCATTCTGATTTTCACAATAATACCCTAAAGCAGAGATTAGCAAACTTTATCCTCTAAAGGATCTGATTTTAAATTTCAGTCATCTTTGAGGGTCATAAGGCAGAATCAAGGATATTTGTAGGTATTTATATTTTAAACACCAAAAAAAGTAAACAAACCACAAAAACAGAATCCAGTGCCACAGAGCCAATTCTGACTCACAGTGTAGCAATTCTGAGGTTGTAAGTCTTTACAGGAGCAGTGCCACTGGTGGATTTGAACTGTAGAACCTACACTTAGCAGTCTAATGCTTATCCTGCACATTTCCACAAAGTTTGTGTTGAAATTTAAAATATAATGAGCACGATATTTTGTAATATAGTTCTAATTGGGATAGTTTCACATAACTAGGGTTCTAAGTTAGTATTCTGTATTTTAAAATGGACTATAAATGTTCATATGTAAAAAATATTTTTAATTCATAGGCAGTACAAAGACAAACTGGTTGAAATTTAAATTTTGCCTGTGAGTGCTAGGTGGTGATCTATACAATTAAAGGTCTGTATAACTCCTCATGTATATTTCTTTACAACATAATGGCTAATGGTATACCAGAAAGTGTAATGATATATACATTATGATACAAATTATATAAGTTAAGAAAACAAAGTAATGAAACATTTTTCATGGAGAGAATTCTTATAACACATTCTAAGCTAATGGAAATCAAGTTAAGTTATTTGGGTGTGTTTGGGGGCTAGCTATGGTCATCATTAAAACATAGACATTGTAGGAGTCCCTGGATGGCAAACACTTGACTAACAGGCTAGAACAGACTAACTAGAAAGGCTTAGCAGTCTCCTTCTGAAAGACCACACCCATTGAAACCCCATGAGCATGGTTTTACTGGCAAACACATGTGGTGCCATGAGTTGGAATGAAGAACGCCAAGAGAACTGAGTTTTTGTGTTTTGTTTTGTCTTTTAGCTATATGGTAAGGATTTAAAACAAAACCAAACCCCAGTAACTTTATGTGGAGATACAGTTTAGTGGTTTTTAGCATTTTCATCTTGTAATATAGTC